CTACACCACAAAACAACAGGCAGCAATTTTCAGTGAAAGGAAACGACGACAATTTTTAGACTGATAAAGAAAAAGAACATTACTTATAACACAAAGTGTGAAACCAGTATTCAAAGAATCCAGTTGGCAGTGAGGTGTCAGCAGAACGAGTTTTGCTAACAAATCAAGAGTAAAAAATCTAATCTTTAAGTGAATGCAAAAGGGAAAGATAACAGAGAGCTGAATAATAGCCCTGCTTCAAAACTTAATTTTGAGTTAGTATTTTAGCTCCCATGGCCATTTTCTTACATCTTTTTCTGAAGCAAGGAATGCATCTCCTGTTGATTCTCTGGCTGCAGAGAATGAGGCTGCTGCTCAGCCCTGCCTGTTTTCTTACTTCTGGGCACAGCAATCAAAGAACTACTGGGTTTCTGCTCTGTATCAGAAGATACTTGATTTCACACTGTATCCAACAATTTTATGAAAAGTCTTCATCATTTCAACAGTGTAATTTACATCTAAAAGAACAATGGAGAAAAATGAGTCTATCTCATATCTGAACTTTGCAGCTGCTCCAAGGGAAACAAACTATTTTTACCATTTATTTCAGTGGAAACAAATTAATGCTACAGTGCTGGCTGTGGGGGAACTAGAGTTCACTCATTAGTTGTCCATGTCCATCATGGGCAAAGTCAGGGAGTCCACTCTGGAAAAAGAGACAATGCTGATAAAGTCATGAGTTATCACCACAGTGTCCAAAAAGCTGAGAGAGCTTCCATGGGCTATTATCTGCTGATACGACTTTGCAGTTAATGAATTTGCATTTTTAGTTGCATTTCTGCCTTTCTTGTTAGGGTAAAACTGCAACTGAGGGTGTACCTTCTGGAAACGTGGGGGTTTTTTTTGAGTCCTTTCTACCTAAATTCTTTCCTAATCATTCTTTTCTCTAGGGCAATTAAGTCCTACCTGAAAGGCAGACTGCTAGCTGAGGCCAACAGCAAAACACCCATCATGCTGTTGGCTGAGTTAAGCAAGACCAGTTTGTTTAACACAGTTTTAGTGAATGACTCTGATGCAGCCAGCATCCCAGGCCCACCACAGCTCCCAAAAGAACCAGCTCCTTTTCCTTCACTGCACGGGCTAACACAGATACCTCAAATGCCAGCCATCTGGTCCTTAAGCCCTTATGCTTTATGGGTTCCCTGGTCTATTCATTGAATACATCCTGACACACCATTTCTACAATCTTCTGGCCTCTCTGGAAAACAGCCTGCCTCACCAGGAAAACAGCCTTTGGTCACCTGTTGCTAGCATGCTACATAGCTAGAGGAAGATCTGCTCTTCCCATTAATCCTTCATGAGCCATTTAATGCAGACCTTAATCACCCTTCATAGGATTCTGTAACTGTAATTGGCTCACATACAATTTTTTTTTATTATTAAAAGACTGTAAATGTCAATTTGATGAAGAACTTTTAAACAGTTTCTTTAAACCAGTAGAAACATTTCTGCTCCACTGCAGAAATTGAGGTAGCCTTAAGGGAGAAGAAGCTTGAAGTAATATAACTGACTTTTCTCATTTATTTGACCCACATAAAAAAAAAAAAGTAAAATTGTTTTAATGGATTCCCATGGTCCAAAACATGGTAAACATAAAGGAACATTTCTGTTGGTTGAATATTTAAAATTCTTATTTAATGAGTTTTATTAATTTTCCAAGGATATGTCTTGACAAATTATAACCTCTCATTTACAATAGCAAAAGTATGTTTTGTGTAACAATGTATGACATTTATAAATGCTTACACATAATTTCAGCTCAGATACAGAGATCTGCGATAACGAATGAATGAGTGGATAATAACATCTTTCAGGGTAAGTCATAAGAAATGAAATGCAGCAATCAAGTTTACAAATATCTTAGTATCCTTGATAAAACCTAATCCATCACATCATTATGGCTTTTAGAAGGCTTTTAGATCCCTCATAGATTGACTGTGCGGTACATTACAACCTGATAAACTATTGAGGAAAAAACATTTTAAAATGTCGTGCCTGACAAACACTGTGAAATGTCACCACTTGCTTCTGCAGTTTCCTAGGAACAGCAAGTACATCGTTAATGTTACAGAGGTCATCCAGTTAAAGATGACTAACCACTGTCATTCTCAGGTCAGGTTGCATTTGTACAGTAAAGACAGTAATTTTCTAAAACGTAGGGACAAAAATTTTAGCACCTACTAATTATATATACTATGAGTCAAGGTAATGTCATGCCACTAGCCATGGTCTAATATCAAGCAGTTAACCTTAAGAGGTACAGTATTTCACTTACGAAAATGCAAGCCATATGGAAGGACAAAATTAACTACTGGAAAGTTTAAATGCTTAATGAACGGTTTTGCAAATGATCCTCAAATACCCTTAAAAACTAGAGTCCTTCTCCTGCTTTCCTGTATTTCTTACAGAAAAGCCAGCAACGTTCCTGAAATAACAGACTTATTCAGTGATTTTTATTACTTACAGTTGCTCATCATTTTTAATATGGCAACCTGTGAACTTTTCTTGTAGATAAATGGCACAGAAAATCTCAGAACCCCTGCTGGGAAGAAATTCATTCATTAAATGTGATTGAAGACTTTCTTATGCTCCACATTTTTGTTAGTAGTTTAAAAAGAAAAATTATCTGGAGATCAACTACGTGGAAAACCAAAGATTATAAAATGGATTTCTCCCTTGAATATGAAAAAAGAAAGAGATGGAAAGAAGAAAATAAACGAGGAGAAAATTTGTATTTCTAACACCCTGTATACTAAACGTCTGAAACCTGTCTTAACAGCATTTCAATAGAAACATTGATCTCCATG